ACCCACCGTAATGTCACCCTTATGAGCCTGTCCCTTAATTCTAACCCACAAGCTTTCAACTTGTTCCTCATTTGCCCCCAGGCCAAGCTCAATGCATTCTACTTGCTCCCTCACATATAGAGCATAGAGTTGTGTGCAAACAGTGTGTATTTCAGTATTTCTGTAGCTCACTACCTGTATCCTAACATTTTCCTCACATATAGAGCATAGACTTGTGTGCAAACAGTGTGTATTTCAGTATTTCTGTAGCTCACTACCTCTATCCTAACATTTTTTTCACCTTTTGAACTCCTTTCACACATTGATCTGTTGCCAGTCAACTTTCAAGTAAGCAATTTTGCAACTAGCATGTTATGATAATGTAGCTTTGGCAAAGAAAAATAATAAGTAAATAGCTTCTTATAATACCCTCTGGCAATACTTAGAAGGAAAAGTCTGTTAAAGTTACAAAAAATACTAATACATTGGTCATACAATTTTACTTCCAATAAGTTATTCTACTTTATTCTTTTCTGTCTTGTAAATTTTGTCTTTAACAATGTTTAACTGATTTACTTCTTATACTGAGTCAAATATTCATTTTAATCACAGAATTATCATTTCTACGTCTGCTTGTTATCTAAATATTTACCTCAGAAATCTTCTGTGGAGTGGTTCTAGAATTAAAACATTCATAACACCTCATTGCCATCAGTGTCTTCAAGAATTCATGGAAGACGGATGAGTCTGAACAGAGGAGAATATAATATTATCTTCAGAAAGAAAGGAGGAATCAGCAGTCAACATAATTTCAATATCAAGAAAACTACTCTGATAAATTATTGAACAGCCATATTAAAAGCACCTGGAGGGTCAGTGAAAAAGAAACAGCCAGCAAAGACTTGTTGCAAACAAAAGTTTGTTGAACTACTGTATTTTCCTTCTTTAACAGATCATCTGGCCTGCAGTGAAAGACGCAGTAGAAATTACATGTATTGTCTACAGGGAATCTCCAGGCACTGTGTTAGATGACATTGTCATAGACAGTGTACAGAAACATTCTGTTCTGGGCTAAATTGCTACAGAGTAGGTACACAATTGCTTGCAGAAAATACTCAAAGACTTACCAATATTGTGTTTTCAAACAAAAAGGATATATAATATAGAAATCTGCTGGGGTCTAGCCAAGATCTGATACAATGCAACATTTTCATTTGTGACTTTGTTGATGGAACAGAGAGCACACTTACAAAAATTGCACATGACGCCAAAGCAGAAGAGCCTGCAAGAGAGCTGAAGGATTAGAATTCAAAATGACTTTGATAAATGGGAGAAGTGGTCTGTAATCAATAAAATGAAACTCAGTAAACACAAGTACCAAGTACTATATTGAGGCACGAAAAAATCAAATGCATAAATACAAAATGGAGAATAGTAACAGCCCTGTAGAAAGAGACCTGGGTGTTTCAGCAAACCACATATTGAATATGAGTCAACAATGTGATGCTGATACAAAAATAGAAAAACTCACCCCGGGACGTTTTAATAGATGTGTCATATGCAAGACAGGGTTAGTAACTGTTTTTCCTAAATCACCTCTCAGAAGTCTTAGTTTGGTGTAGTTTAATAGGATAGTACAAAAAGAACTTTAAAAAAAAAAAAGATGTTTAAAAGATGGAGAATGATTGAAAAAGGGAAAGGATACATTTGCTCTAAATGATGCAGCTGATGGCAGGTGTGGGGGTGATATGATAACAACCTTCCAATATGTAAAAGGTTCTCATAAGCAGGGATCCCATTGATTTTTCTTCATGATACTGAGGGCTGGATAAAACCTAAGTGGCTTGAATTGCAGCAGGAAAGATTTAGGCCGAAAACCGGAAAAATTCAAACTCAAAGGATAGCTATGGACAAAAATAGGTCACCTGAAGATGTGGTATAATCTCCACCATTCAGTTTTCTAAGAAGAGGTTAGAAAAATACTCATCAGAGATTCTTCGTTCCTTGAAGCAAGAGGCAAACAGTATGAGCTCCTGCAGGTTTTTTTCACTCTAGCTACTGTTGTAGTATCAAAGAAACAGAAACCTGTAACTTAAATTAGCTTTTTTATTTTAATACTAAATATTTTCATGCCAGTTTCTGACAGCGACTTGCCTTTTTTTATCCACAAAAGGAAACTCATGCACTGGTGGTCTGCTCCTTGTAAGCAGTAACATCTGCAGAGAGGTCAGATCTGCTGCTGACTTTGATCCATTTTCTCAAGACAGTTTAATGCGTCTCTTGACGCCTGCAGGTCTTTGATTCAAAATATTTATCTTCTTTTGGTTTTATTTCTGGCCACTTGAATTTTATGTTTCCCCACAGAGCCCCTCTGATACACACATCAGCTACAGGACTCAGCTGCCACTGCTCATGACGCTCGCTCCTGGCATCACTGGGGCTGCTGTTGATTCCTGGGAGGCTTATTTATTACTTGAATAAAGTGTCTAATGCAATATGTTTGGTTTTTTACCATTCTCCTGTGGTGTGCTTAATAGTTATCATGTACCTTTAAGGGTTTTATTTTCTTAAATATTTAGCCTTTTGTTCCATGGCTTTATGCCTTTGGACACTCTTTCTGCAGTTAAGATCACTACACTAATCTTCACTATTTTGCAGCTTCTGTGACAGAGGGAGTCAGCAGTAATTACTTTTTAAATCAGATCTCGTTTGTTACTTACGATTAAATCTCTTGTGCACCAGCAAAGCTACCTACTGCTTAAAGCAGTCATTTGTGGAAACAAGAATTTGCTACTCCTAGCCGTACCGTTCAGTCGCATTTGAGCCACTAATCCTGGGTACTTGAAATGATCTATTACTTCTAGTTTACTTCCATTTGTACTCTTCTTTGTGCAATTCTTTTACAAGGGTCATTCTTCTACCACAAAATGAACTGAGACATATATCTATGTAAAAATGGAGTCTATGGCTCATGCTCTCAGTTCTCTCACCTCAGAAACTTCACTAAAGTAAAACTGTATCATATCGAAGAGTCGAGATTAGAAAATACATTTGAGACTATGGAATGTGCTTGCTTTGTCAGTTTTCTATTAAGAGTTCAGGGGAAAAAATTCTACCTCACACTCTCCCACACTTCTGCTGTACTTGTAGACTTCAATTTCCAGGTATATTAATTGATTTTCTCAAACAAGAACTGGTGTTGTTATTGACAAGTCTCTCATGCAGCACTTTTTTTTTTACATTTATTAATACAAGATCTGTGCAGAACTGGGTCACTGGTAGCATGTACAAAATTTGGATCACAAATTGCAACTTATGCAGAGATAGGATATCTTGCTTATGCTTACGTGTATCATAGCCATGTTAACTAGTATCCTAGGCTGTACTGCATGCCACTTTCCCATCCCCTGGTACTTTGTAAGCTGCCAGCCATGTTTCACTGCAGGGAATAGGAGAGAGGGATCATGCTTCTGTCTTTGAAGTACGCAACAGCTTAAAAAAAAACTCCTGTAAAATACCACAGACCTGTCACCACACCCACCATCAGCGCCTCTCCATTTCTGCAAGATGAACTCAGCAAGAAGCACATATCTGGGCACGGCAGCAGTGCTTTCAGTGGCAGCGCTGATGCACGCAGACTTCCTGAGCCAGAAGCGTCGTTTCCTGCACACAATGGGCCACGTAAAACGAGACAGCAAAGTTGGAGTTACATCAGGCATGACTTTCTGTGTAGTCAGATAATGTCACTGATGACAAAGACAGGATCCCTTCAAGTGTCGTGCCTGGCTCTGTGAGAAGAGTTCTGCAAATGCAGGCTGGGGTGGCTCAGCAGTGAAATGAGACTTCCAGAGTGGGACATACAATGTTAACGGTAGATTTGTGATAAGTTCAGCCCTTATTTGGTGATGTAATGACTAGTGTAAGCGTGTTGTTGAACAAGTAGAGGAGGATAACTATGCGGAGACCCAAAGCATACTTCCACTATATTAGTGCGCTGACAGCATGTTAGGACTGGAAAATCAACAGAAAGCAAGGTTATTTAGGAAATGAAAGCAACCATTTTGATAAGAAGTGGTAGCAGACTTTTCTTGGATATTTTCTCAGCTGCATCAGGGTCACTGAAGGGGAAAAAATACTCTCTGTGTATTCAGGTCTCCATGCTCTACGTCAAAAGGAAAGAGTAATTGTGTTGTCTGCTGTTGTAGATAACCACAGAAGACAAAGCCAATGTTGGGTGATTCAGCAAGGAGCATGATGTCTGGGTGTCCCGCAGCTCTTTCCTAGCCACGCTGACAGAAGCAGGCTCTGATCCCCCAAGTTCCCAGCACGCTGAGATCAACAGACTGATCCATCAAGAGCCACAGGTGACTGTGCCTGCACCCCCACATGCAAGCTCATGAGCTCATCCATTGGCAATCTCCACTGAGACCTTTTCAATTACTGCTTAAGTTGCATTCAAACAGTAGCTGGATGCGTGCTTGTCCAGCTCTAAGAAAAATCATTGATCTTCTGTCAGACTTGATTTTAGCCACTGCCTTCCTACAATTTTTTTTACATATTTAACAGTATCTATCTCCTAATCATGAGGATGTGCATCCCAAGGTTTTTCCTTCCCTACTTAATTTAGCACTGATGACGGCAGCTTATGTCACATCCTTGGCAACAGGGGCACTCTGGCGTAGGGGAAAGGAGAAGGCAAGATGTCTGTAGAGATTTAGATCTGTCAGAAGTTAGGGACAGGAGAAGAGAAGCCAAAGACACTCAATAATGACAAGTAGAGTCAAGTAGCCCGTTGAGTTCAAACAGACTTGGGCAAGATTTTATTTTAGTTTTCAAATTTGCAATAGGTCAGGGACAGTAAAGTGCACAGAAGAGAACGATCCCTCCCTTAAGGCATGCACATCACTTTCATGCTGGGTGATGTGATTCCGGGTGGTGAAAAAAGCACATCTTTGACTAAGCCCGCCAATGAACGTCCTGAAACCGATGTACATGTTGTGTCCTTGGACACGCTGAAGTCCTGGATCACAGCGGTGACAAGGAATGAAGTCTGATGACTTGTGTAATGTCAAGTGGATTCCACTTTTCCACCCTAAGTTAAAAGCTCAGTTTTACAATGCCTGATGGAACATTGCCCGCTGGTCAGGGCTGATATGGTAAAGGGGTGGGGAGTGCATGGGCCCTGCCTAGACTCACATTATTGCATAAAATATGTTCAGAATAAATAAATGCTTGATTCAGTGTCTGAGACATACCTGTTCTCTCATAATTACTACCACATAGTTGTGACGTGAGACAATCCTAGGAGAACATCAGGTGAGTGAGAATCAGGTGCAATGGGCAAAAAAGTGGTAGAAGGGAAAGGGAGATTTGTGTTTGAGGCCTGGACAAGCAAGGGCCATGGCAGGCATAACTGGAGCATTCATTTTTACCATCGGGTCTTCCTGGAGGCAGGATTCTTAACCCAGTCCTGTGCTGTTCAGTGTCCCCCAGGCTGATGCATTTGCAAAGAAACGACACTACAGAAGAATTCATTCCTTGAGTTCCCATGGTGTTGTCGATAGATGTTTTCCACAGAATCCAAGCAGGTCAAATACCTCTGACTCGGTCCACTTGGGATCATGTGGAACAACGCCTAGGGAGTGTGCTTGCCAAGTACACGATTTCCACTGTGGCTCTGGTCCAGGCTCTGTCTGATCAGTAACGGTATGCTGTCACCAAATTCTTCGAAGCTGCCGTTGTTGGAGCCAAGACAGTTTACAACAAAACACGGAATTCCAACAAGGGGCCAAATAAAAGAAGAAAAATATGCACCCAAACCTGCATATACACAAGGAAAGTGACCCCCTGCAAACACTTGGGCACTATGACAAAGCATCAAGAGCACAAACGGAGCATGAAGGAACTGGCAAAAGAGCCTTTGGGCTGGCGAAGAAGGTTCATTCAGAAATGCAGATATCGGATACCTGATCTTGCATAACCCTGCCAGACAAAAATTATTCCTTCATTCGTTTATTTATATATTCTCACCCCCACCTTGAGTCAAACAGAGTGGTCTTATACCAGTCCAGCATCTTGTGTCTAAGGGCTGCAGCATTTTTGATCTAATACTAGCTACCCTACAAGTGGATTTACAGTTTTGTGAAGCCACCACCTCATTACTGTCTGTGCTGTTTACAGCTGCTGGCCTCCCCTCTCTCTCTGTCCAAACGCAACCTATGTAAGTGCTGGCAGACAGTAGGGAGGGTGACCAATGAAACTGGAGCGCGCAGCCAGCTGTCTCTCCCTCCCCCTTCACTCCCCCCTCTTTTTTTTTTTTTCTTTGTAAAGATATTTAGGTGTTGCTCTGTTCAGCGTTACAAGCCTCACTGAGCTCTGTAGAGAAATGCCTAAATCTGTTCAAAAATCTCAGTCAGTGTGTTAGGTGAAAAATCAATGAACGCTAAGGATAGCTTAGAAAGCAAGCAGGAAGTGACATAAAAGAAGATACAAGATAGTTTGGGAGCTTAAACAAAAAAAAAAAAAACAACAAAAAACCAAAAACAGAAATGCAAAGCACAGGTGGGGAATCGGGGTGGAAGAGCATTTTTGAGGTGGGGAAAAGAGTGGGTATTGGAACCTGGAAAGAAAGTAGCAAAAATAGCGGGAAAAGCAAGATCCAGAGAAGTAACTTCAAAGGGGAGAAAGTTGGAGAAAATTAAGAAAATGAAATCATGGTGCTAAGGAACGTCACCAAAAGATTAGAAAACCAGAAACAAAATGTAGAAGTGATAAACAAGAGAGACAGAAAAGTGTGCATATGGATACAGAGAAAGGATAATTAAAATATTAAAAACCCACATACTTTAACAAAATTTATACACACTATGAGAGATGCCGGGCAGTAGAGACTCAGTGCTAAGTGAATTTTCTTAGTTTGGGCTGTTGTGCAAACCAGCCACCCTCATGTGATACAACGCCTGAGCTACGTCTTGCCAGGAACCTCACATTTCAGTGGGTCTCTGCTCACCCACGCATTTCCATGCAGTGCTTTCTCTCTGGGTGTCAACATGCTTGTAAAGTTCTGAGCCTGAAAGAAAGTGGTGATGAAACCTTTTTGCTTAATTTTTCCCTATTTCTGATACTTCTGTTTCATCTGTTCCAATAGCACTGGGGACTCCTGCATGAACAAATATACATCCTCAGACCTAATCCTACTTCCATGTAATTCAACAGGTGACTTCTGCTGACTACTATGAGCACCCGCAGAGAGCAACAAGTATCAGGGTGCAGAGGGTAGGTACCAGTTCATTCGGGAACAATGCTGAAGGAGGCAGGCTCAGAAAGCTTAAGCTGGCAGAAAGAATTTGAACAAGACTGACATTAAAAGAAAGAGTAGGTGGTATAGGAGTAACTGTGGATGGTAAAAATACACAAAAATCATGATGCCCCTACTGAAACCACCTACACCACCACCATCTTTTATCTCCCATTTCAGTCACTCCCTGAGTTGAGACAGAGCTTTTACTCTTTGCACGCTAGAGCCAGATTTTCAAAAGCACTGTACCTGCTGCCGTAGATGGAAATCCAGTGAAAGTTTAAAAGCTTCCACAGGACATAAAACACCAGTCTCTCACTAACAAAAAAGAGTGTGCCCTTGCTAACACATTCGCCCATTCATTCTTCACACAACCTGTCCTGAGCGCACGGGCAGGCTATGGTGCCCCAACCACCCTTGCCCAAGACCCCTGCCCATTCCACCGGAGCTCAGCCCTGGCCCAAGCCCAGGCCCCGCGGCGGAGGTGGCCCCGTCTCCCACTCCTGTGATGACACCGGGGCACCGGCAGGTCCCGTCACCACCCCAGCCCTGCTCGGAGGTGGGGGACAGCACCCCGACAGTAAGGGCACAGCTGGGTCCCCTCCCGCTCCCCAGCACCGACTGGGAGAAGGCACTGAGATTTGGCTGAGCTGTAAACCTGGGGGTGTTTGCTTATCTGCAGTCAATTTATCCAGCGTTTTTAAGGTCCATTCCTGATGCATGTGCTTGTGACCTGTGTTCCGACTGCGACAACGCCTTGGTACCAGCCTGCACCATATTCATTTCTGAGCATTTTCTTACTCACGATGGACAGGCTTGGCATTTTTACATTTCCTTTATTCTGGAGGTTGTGTTGGAGGCCTGGGGTGGAGGTTGAGGGCATCCTCATCCTTTTGTAGGATGACACTGTTGAACAGCTGGTATTCTTTGGCACTTTTGTCACTGACTTGTGGTTAGTACACACTCTGTCTTACTTGACAAAGAATTTGGGCATGTAGTAGAGGATATTTTAACTGACCAAGCTGCACACGTGTACCACTACAATCGAATTTCTTCCAAATTCAAATGGGGTTAACAGGCTTTGCCACACCGCTGGTTTTTGCAGATCCACCATTCCTCGCACCACTCCACAGCCACAATCAGCTTCGGCTTCCCCAGCTGTCTTCCCAAATCAGCCAGGGTGAGTGGGCAACGCGCGCACACTGCGGCCTGCTCCGACAGGGAACGGGCAGTACGAGCACCGGAGGAAACCGACTGCACGATCGTAATTTATCTGTTTTTAATGCAACGACGACCAGCCTGGCCCACCACAGGCTGCTGGGGGCTGAATCCCGCTCTGTGAACCTGCAGCCAGGCCGACAGGGAACGGGCAGTACGAGCACCGGAGGAAACCGACTGCACGATCGTAATTTATCTGTTTTTAATGCAACGACGACCAGCCTGGCCCACCACAGGCTGCTGGGGGCTGAATCCCGCTCTGTGAACCTGCAGCGAGGCGACGCACAGCGTGGGGCTGACCCAGCCCGGCCGGGCCCTGCTCCCCGCTCCTCCCGGCCG